CCAGTTCTGGGACTTGAACCGTGGTCATCCATGTGAGACTGTCCAGCACCTTAACCACCATGCCACCTGCTGGTCCCCATGGTGAAGTATATTTTTTGTTTGTTTTTTTAAGAGAGATTTTTTTTTGCTATAGGGCACATGCCCATACCAGAATGACAAAGCGAGACAGAGACAGAAAGTAAGAAATCATTCCCTGGGAGGATGGCCCTTCCACAGTTCTTTCTCCCCCATTTCCTCTCTGGATTTTGGGCACATATGCACATGTGCCTGGCATGAGTTTTAAGCCTCTGGGTCCGGGATTTGAACTACACTTGGCCATGTGGTAATCCAGCGCCTTAACTGTTACATCACCTGCGGCCCCTGTAAAGTATATGATTAAAATTTAGCCTTGAGGGCCAGCAAGTGGCATGGAGATTAAGGAACTAGATCCCTCATGGCCAACTGAGGGTTTGAGTCCTAGACCTAGTAACTTGAAAATCACACCAGGCACTCGCCCAGTGTGTGTCCAAAATCCCAAGAGAAGAATGAACTTGAAAATTACACCAGGCACTCGCCCAGTATGTGTCCAAAATCCCAAGAGAAGAATGAAGGAGAAAGAACTGTGACATGGCCATGTCCCCCTGGGGTTCTCACTTCCCCTCTCTCTATCTCTGTCTGTCTTCTGACAAGTACGTGTGCCCTGTAATAAAAACTAAAAAAAAAAAGAAACTAGCTTTCATTCTCTCCCTGCTTATCTACTACACCAGGCACTCGCCCAGTATGTGTCCAAAATCCCAAGAGAAGAATGAAGGAGAAAGAACTGTGACATGGCCATGTCCCCCTGGGGTTCTCACTTCCCCTCTCTCTATCTCTGTCTGTCTTCTGACAAGTACGTGTGCCCTGTAATAAAAACTAAAAAAAAAAAGAAACTAGCTTTCATTCTCTCCCTGCTTATCTACTTTTTACCTACTTTCATAATATGTTATGAACATGTTACTGCTCCATAAAAACAAATATTTCAGTGGCTAACTTAGTACTTAAAAAGTAAAGGCCAAACTAATTAACTTCTATGATCTGGTCCCAGATTATTATTATTTTTATTCCATGAATGAGAGAGACATACAGGGAAGGATGGGACCAGCAAAGGGCATAGTGGTTATGTCGCTGGACTCTCACATAGCTGACCACAGTCCCGGACCTAGCAGCTTTAAACTCATGCTGGACACGTGTGCGTGCATGCCCGAAATCCTGAGAGGAGAACAGAGGAGAAGGGGTTGCCACGTGGCCATCGCCCCGGAGGGATGATATCGTGCTTTTTGTCTCTCCAGCAAGCTCATGCACCCTATAGGAAAAATATCTCTCAAAAACAAAAACAAAAACAAAAAGAAAGAAAGAGGGGAGGAGATAGAGAAACAGCACTCTGACAGGATCTAACACCACGATCACTCCCAACTTCTGCCAGCCTGTATTGTTGGCACCTGTGTCCTGGCATATGCAAGGAAATCTGCATGTGCAAACTGGCAGCCTTCTTGTGTGGGTCAGCCTCTCCAAGGACTGTGTTTTCACTGCTGTACTAATGTTTGGTCACTCCCAGTTTATTTTATTTGTTTTCCAGAGGGTGCTTTGCTCACCGTAGGCAGGTAGGGGAGAAAGCCCCTCCAGCTGGGCATGGTCATGCTGCAATCCCTTCTCCTCCTTTTCCCCATTCTTTTGGGATTTTTGGGCACATGGACACATGCGTGTTTTTCAAATAACTGAGGTAGAATTCCAACTGCAGTTGGCCACGTGGGATCTGACTTCCTTAACCACAAGATTAAAGGGTGGGCCCTGTTTTTTCAGATCTTTCTTTCCTTTAGTCCCCTTCACAATGTCTTTACTCCAGCCAGGCCTTCTCGGTACTTTTGCTCTGTCTTTATCCTTGCATGTCATCCTCGTGTGCACCTGAGTAACCCCTTCAGGGCCCAGTGTATGTCCTGCTACCTCCCTTGGGAAGCTGCTCTCAACTGTACTTTAGTGCATTTACGTAATGTCCACAAGTTTGGAAAGGCTGTCTTATCTCCTATACTAAATTTTCCTGTTCTTTTTTGTGTGTGTGTAGGGGGGAGGTTTTTGCTATAGGGCACATGCGCTTGCCAGAAAGACAGAGAGAGACAGAGAGACAGAAAGTGAGAAGTCACCCCCCAGGGGGATGGCCACACTGCAGTCCCTTCCCCTCATTCTTCTCTTGGGATCTTGGGCACGTATGTACATGTGTTTGGCATGAGTTTAAGCTGCTGGGTCCGGGACTCGAACTGCAGTCAACTGCATGGGAGTTCAGCGACATAGCCATTACGTCAACTGCTGGTCCCAAATTCTTCATTTTTTAAATCCCCAAAAGCACTTGGCAATGTCTTAACTAATGAATATTAGAGTTGGTGGGCATTCTAAAAAACTGATATGATATATAGTTGAAACGATTTAAGTAGTTATGACTAGTGAAAGTGCATTTGAGACATACTGTTTGACATATATCTAATTTCTGGAATATAATGATTAGAATTAAAAATCTAATGGACTTTCACTGATACTTCATTTCTATATTGACTTCTTAGAAAGAGAGAGGAAGAATGCACCCTCTAATGAGGCATGATCACACTATAATCCCCTCTCTTTCATTTCTTCATCCTGTCAGGATTTTGAGCATGTATACACACATTCTCAGCATGTTTTTCAAGCTGCCAGGGCCAAGATTTGAACCATAGCTAGCCATGTGAGATTTGGCTCCCTTAACCACTAAGCTAGAGGGCCGGCCCTATATTGTTTTCAAGATATGTCATAAAATTGGCGGTCGGCAGGTGGCGTGATGGTTAAGAGTGCTAAATTCCCACATGGCCTACACAGTTTGAGTCCTGGACCTGGCGGCTTGCTTTCTCACTTTCTCTCTCTCTCTCTCTCTCTCTCTTTCTTTCTCTCTCTTACTCACTCTGTCCCACTCTAGTCAAATTATAATAAATAAGTAAGTTAAGTAAAACAATTCTTTTTTTTTTGGAGAGGTTTTCGCCATAGGGCGCATGCGCTCGCCAGACAGAGACAGAGAGACAGAAAGCGAGAAATCCCCCCCCCAGGGGGGATGGCCACGCTGCAATCCCTTCTCCTCCATTCTCCTCTCGGGATCTTGGGCACGCACGCACATGCACTCCAAACTGTGAGCTGAATAAACCCGGTTTCACAAATTACCCAGACTTGGGCAATTCTATTAGTGCCAGAACAGACCAGAAGACTGCGAAAGGGATGCCATGTCAGTGCCATCAGCATCTGCGGTTTAGATGCCGTGGAAGGGTCTAGAAGCTTCATGGCATCAGTTGATTTGTAAAGACACAGCCCTTAGTAATTATTGAAGGCTTACAACACGGTTTCTCAGTGTTGGCACTATTGAAATCTTAGGCCCAACAATTCTTTTTTTTTTTTTTTTTTAAGAGGTTTTTGCTATAGGGCATGTATGCGCACCAGAAAGACAGAGAGACAGAAAGCAAGAAATCACCCCCCCCGGAGGGGGGGGATAGCCACACAGCAATTCCTTCTCCTCCATTCTCCTCTCAGGCATGCACACATGCCTGGCATGAATGTAAGCCGCCTGATCTGGGACTCGAACCACAGTTGACTATGTGGGAGTCCCGTGACATAAACATTTCGCCATCTGCTGGTCCCTGTGACGTAACAATTACACCATCTCCTGGTCCCAATAAAACAATTCTTAAAAAAAGAGACAAATAAATAAAGTTAAATAAAATAATTTTTTAAAAATACATCATAAAATTTGAACCTTCAGGGCTATGGTGTTACAGGCCTGTAATTCTAGCAACATGGCTGACTATAAGATTCTAGTCTTAGACCCGGCAGCTTGAAAAATATGCTGGGCATGTGTGTGTGGTCTCAAAAAATCCCAAGAGGAGAATGGAAGAGAAGGTACTGTTGTGTAACCATCACCCTGAGGGTTGGTTTCTCACTTGCCCTCTTTCTCACTCTGGCAAGTGCATGCACCATGCATGTAGCAAAATTAAAAAAAAAAAAAAAAAAGAGGAGGGGATGATGGTGCATGCCTATAGTCCCAGTTGGGACGCTGAGGCAAGAGAATCACAACATGGTCAGATCCTGTATTAAAACAAACAAAAAAGAGGGGCCAGCAGATGGCATAGTGGTTAAGGTGCTGGACTCGCACATGACCATGGTTCAAATCCCGGACCCAGTGGCTTTGAAACCATGCCGGGTGCGTGTGCGTGTGCGTGTGTGCCTAAGATCCTAAGAGAAGAATGGAGGAGAAGGGATTGCAGCATGGCCATCGCCCCAGGTGGTGATTTCTCAGTTTCTGTCTCTCTGTCTCTGTTTCTCTGGCAAGTACACATGTCCTATAGCAAAGAAACCTCTCAAAAAAAAAAACAAAAAAAAACTTCAAGTTGGAAAAGAAAGTTACTTCTCCCCCAAAACGGTTTTCTCAAAAAAAAAAAAAAGTTAATGTCAACTATAAATTATCTTATATGGACTTTAGTTGATTACTAGCATTTAAACTTATTCTCTGTTATGATTAGAACACTTGGCTTTTACTATTTTAACTTAACAAACCTGTACCTGGTACTAATTTCTTCTGTTACCAACTGCTAATTTATCACTGTCAAAGAAAACACTGGAAATGTCAAATAGTGTGTATAATTTTTATTACTATCTTAGATTTATATTGTAGTGTTCTTCTAATAAACTTAATATACATCACTATCCAATGGTAGCAAATATTAATTCTACTTTTTCCATGGGAGAATTGGCAAGGGGATGAAATATTTAACTTGCTCACAATTAAAGAAAGTCTGAAATTTGGACCAGTAGATGGCATAATAGTTACATTGCTGGACTTCCCAGGTAGACAACTGTGATTCAAGTCCCGGACTTGGCGGCTTAAAATTCAGGCTGGGTGTGTGTGTGTGTGTGTACGTGTCCCAAATCCCAAGAGGACAATGGAGGAGAAGAGATTGTGGTGTGGCCATCCTCCTTGTGGGGGGTGATTTCTCGCTTTCTGTCTCTCTGTCTCACTCTCTGTCCATTGAGGGCACATGCCCCATAGCAAAAATCTCTCTCTAAAAAAAAGAAAGTCTGAAATTTCTTTGATATTCTGGAAAGATTTTGGCACCGTTGGGTGAAAAATTCAATTGAATATATAATGAGATAGCAGCAGCTATAACTGCACTTGATATCTTGAACTCTTCAATCAAACCATCTGCTAGATTTGACAAGCCAATAAAACGTAACTCTTAATTGTTTTTATTAGCTCGAAGAGTGTGGAAAAACTACCTTCCTGCTATTAATGGCATTGTATTTTTGGTGGATTGTGCAGACCATGAGAGGCTGTTAGAATCAAAAGAAGAACTTGATGTAAGTTAAATAATTAAAACTAGACATAGTTGAATCACTTTGGTAAGCCTGAAGAAGTGGGTTGAGGATACAGATATCAGAATGCAGCTTTTCTGCAGTCTCAGATGAAGCTTTTGGCTATTTGTTGAGTTCAGTGATTGCTTTAAATAGTGATTACTTAGAATGAAGGAGTTCCTTGGAATACGCGTTGGTGTTGAAGAAGTACTAATACACACTTCTTCTTGAAAACTTGAGGAGCTCACCTGTACAGGGTGTTCCTTTCTCTTCTCATAAGTTTCATGTCTGCTACGTTCCTCACCTAGTTGCCCTTGAGTACCTGGTCATCATAGGGTGCCGCTTCTTCAGAGTTGACCAGAACCTGGAAATGGTATAATTTGCCATCTTTGTCACCACTTCTGGGAAGAGCCGGGGCATGTGTAGCTATCTCCTTGCCCTTCTCTCATGTCAGATGCTTCATAAAGAGGCTCAGGAGTAGCAGAGAAGGCCAGTACCAGATCAGGGACCCCAACCATGCTTCTTCACAGAGAAGGCAAACAAATATGTCTTCATGTGGAAAAGTCCAGGTAGGCTCCATAGTCATGGGACAGAGTAAAGAATTCCGGAGTTCCTATGTTGTGGCAGACACTGCACATTAGTTCATGTAACTTTCATATCAGCTCTACATAGGTGCTACTATTCTCAGTTCTCCCTGAGCTTTGGAGAAGCTGGCCTGCCCCAAGTCACAACTCGAAAGTAGCAACACCAGAAATGAAACCAGGTCTGCCTACTTTGTGTTGACCCTAGTCACTGTACCTCAATGATGTACATAGCCAGCAGAGTGAGCGCTACAGAAAGAGCCTAGGGAGACAGATGATTGAGTGTACGTCTCCATTGAGCTCACTGTAAAATGTGGGGAAAGTTTGCCACAGAAAGTTGGCATGACAAGATTCGGTGAACGATTCCTTGCCTATGTTAGTATCTTGTCAATATAAGTTCTTTAGATGGTTTCATATCCACTTCTCTTGTGTTGCTTTGTATGTTTCAGTCACTAATGACAGATGAGACGATTGCTAATGTGCCTATACTGATTCTTGGGAATAAGATCGACAGACCTGAAGCCATCAGTGAAG